TCCTCCCTGGGGGACAGACAACAGAAAAGTGGGTGAAGGGAGAAGTTGGACAGAGTAAGACAGGACAATATGATAATAGTTTATAAATTATCAAGGGTTCGTGAGGGAGGAGAAGTGGGGAGGGAGGGGAAAAAAAAAAGAGGAACTGATACCGAGGGCTCAAGTAGAAAGCAAATGTTTTGAGAATGATGATAGCAACAAATGTACAAATGTGCTTGACACAATGGATGTATATATGGATTGTGATAAGAGTTGTATGAACCCCCAATAAAATGATGGAAAAAAGAAAAATAGTAGCCAAGAAATCAAACAAAATATTGCACTGGGCAAAAGCTGCACAAGACCTCTTTCAAGAGTTGGGGTAAAAGGATTTTATTGAGGACTAAGGTAAGCCTAGCCCAAGCTATGGTATTTTCAATCACCTCATATGTATGTGAAAGTTAGACAATGAGTAAGGAAGAACTGATGCATTTGAATCATGATGAAGAATATTGACAGTACCAGACACTGCTAGAAAAAAATAAAGTCTGTCTTGGAAGAAGTGCAGCCTGAAGAGAGGTAAATGGAAGATCAACGAAAAAGAGGAAGGCCCTCAACAAGACGGACTGTCAGTGGTGGCAACAATGGGCTCAATCACAGCAACACTTGTAAGGAGGGCATAGGAATGAGTAGAGTTTCATTCTATTGTACATAAGGTCACTAGGAGATGGCCACTGCTGCCTACTTTGCCATGAAGATACTTGGCAATCTGGTGAGGACTCAGAATGAAGTGAGACGTGTGGAGAAAATCTTTAGTTTTAGAGAACACAAATGGTGCCAGCAACAGCTTGGAGCTGCTAGAAATGTACACATTAACTGTGTTTCTGGTGAGGCTTTAAAAGAAAATGAAGAGCATGTGATTGGGTAATGGAGGAAGGGTGAGGCTTTTCACACATTGGAAAGAAGTAGTCTTAATTGTGCTCAAATATTTGATGGAAGGTAGAATTTGTAAATGATGAACTTGGATACCTGGCCAAAAAGATACCTAAGCAAGAGCTTAAAGGGGCCATAGGGCTTTTCCTTCCTGCTTATAGTACTATGTGACAAGAAAGAGATGGGCTTAAATACTGTTTTGTTTTTAGTGGGTATATCTTTTTTTTTTTTTTTTAATTTT